AGGAGGGTAAAAAACGCTGGCTCTGGAAGGTACATGTACCTCTCACGTAAAGCAGTAGACCACGGTCTTAACGAGTGCAAACCACTTTCCTCGCTCTCTGATCCCTGAGACGAGCTCACATCACCTCTTATTTCGACCTGAATCAAAATAATCATATAGATCTCAGCCCAGGGGCAAGCTCATAAAATCTCCTCACCTAGAACGACACGGCTTTTTACGACATGCCACGCGGCTGTCACCTCCTACATACGGGTCCCTGCGCACATTGTGTGCGCGGAGCTCTATCATATTGCGCACTTAAAAGAACAATCGGACCTAACGAAGGGAAACATCCAACAAAACTGACTGAGGTCTTATAATGGCTTATGTAAGGAAAATATGTGGGAGAATCGGGGGTGAGGTTTGTTAACCGATCATCTTGCCTCTTTGTCGTGCGTAGAACGTGTCATATCTGAAGGAAGTTTTTGCCTCCCTGATGTCACACGTTTAAAAATGGCATCGAATTCTAAAGCAGGACCCAATCTTCCCTGGCAGTCGCCTGTCTGCTTTTGAAATTGATACTCAGATAGATGTAAACTGACAGGGGTAATTTTGTGATTATTTTTTCACTTATGATTCAAGTATTAGTTTTCTAAAGAACGATTTGTCGATACTAAAAATAAACCACCAAGACGTGCTTGAATCCTTAAATATGGATGCTATATTTCAAAAACAAGATATCAAAAACACATATACGTTGATTAATCTATAATCAATAAGAGAATATAAATACAGAAAACATGATCATTTGTCTAGATCTTTAGTTTTCGTTTCACTTGTAAAACAGTCTCAGAGCAGTCTGCATGTCAACCGTACATGTGCCCTATTTATAGCTTGAAGTACAAACCCTGCGGCAAATGTAACGTCTTTTAAAATCACTGTAATTTATCACAATCATTACAAAGGGAACCGACGGGTGAAATTGCGTACAAAACGCATAATAAGTGCCCAGAGCGAGCATAGCGGGGCAGATGTGCTCGTTAGACCTTGGAATTCCCGAGGGAGTCCCCCTCTCCTACGGGGTCCCGCTCGCAGAGGGACCTCCTGCCCACTAAAACCACAGTTTTTCATTACGGGGACAGCGATATGAGTTATTACCGAGATTGATCGAGGGACAGGAACAATGGTTTCCATACACTTTTGTTACAGCCACAAATAATGTCACACAATGGCGGTACGATCAGCTTCAACGGCCACACACCGCTGATGGAGAAAATTATGAGAATTTTATTCCCGTACCTTCCTGTCCTTAAATTGTCAAATGTCCCGTTTGGACTTGGCTTAGACCAAAACCGGTAAGGTCCAAATCACGTCAGCATTTGACTGAAAGATTTTACAATGCGTTGGATGTTTTTAGTGAAGTAGGATATTGCTGTATTGACGCCGGTCGCATAGACATATCCAATTGCACTTTATTATAAAATTTGCAATGGAGAGAGGTCGTCTGCTTACGCGCTTTAGACCCGAACCGGTCTGAAATTAAAACAAGTCTGAACATTCGTCTAGAAAGTTATATTTGCTTTTGACTGACAGCGTTTGGCGTTACATTTTGTACGATGAAATAAAGTCAAATAAAAAAGTCAGTGGTTTTAAAGGTTTTGGTTTGCTTTGTTAGTGGCAGGTTATTTTCCTTCCTGTTTTGAAACAATAAAATCAAAGCGTCTTTGTCCTCTTTGATGAGTTGTCTTTCTGCGATGTTTTATTATTAGTGTAGGCCGCTTTGGTCCTGATAACCTATAGATGAAAGTAACTGATGGGACTTGTTGAAAGGTCATGGCCGGGTGTTTTTTCTATACAGATTTTCTCTCTCTCTCTCTCTCTCTCTCTCTCTTTGACCAGCCAGACATTAATTACACCAAAGACATTTCAAGGCATGGGGAGCCAACTTCCAGAATTTTTATGCAATGACGATTCAATATATTAATTCATTCATTCATTCATTTATTCAAAAGAGTATACATAAGCGTTTCTAGATATTTTGGGAAAGAAAAATTCTATGCTACAATTGTATATATATAAACTTTAATTAGATTTCCTGAAGAGCCAAACTGAACACACGGCTTCCGGGAGCCTAGAAACCACATGGTTACATTAGCGCTGATGACACGAGCGATTTTTGAAACAAATACGAGACTAACGTCCTCCCGAGGCATTATCTAATTAAAATACTCTTAAAACGTCAAACTTAACCACTTAGTTTTTTGTTTAGGGTCTCTCACACCTGTTGATGCACGAGGACAACATGAATTTGAAAGGTTTTGAATGGAGGACAACTGCTGCAAATGTACACAACAATCACCCGTGCTGCTACGCCCAATGGCGGACGATTTACGACAACAGTTTTCCACTTCCGGTGAGTAAACACCTATGTTTTACTGAGATGGAATTGAAACTTTTGTTTCAAATTGTTGAAACTATGGGGTTTATACAAAAGTTGGCCCACAAAGATTGAACTGAGGAAAAGTTGACAAAAACCGGTTGCGGCAATGTTATGTCGACTGTTGCCAGGAGAATTGTTAGAAAAGTTTCAGTTATTTTGAGAGTAGTTCTTCAGCCAAATTCTGGTGCGCCTATAACCAAAGACTTCAGTCTGTATCGTTACCAAAATTTTCATTCCATACAAATTGTCACTCCCCAAACAACTGTATGAGTCTTGTTTGGTGACCAACGATATTTTTTTTTAAATTTACACCTGATTCTTATCATTGGTTTTCTTAGTTTTCTTTAATCAACATCACTTGGGACATTTTTCTATTTATTTTGTCTCGATTCTTTTTCAGCTATCTCACCTTAAGATTGTCTCACTCAAAGACGAAATGTTACAAATCTGCTCGCCATTTTTTATTTTTAAAAGGAATGGGTAGTTACGGTTGTCGGAGTATATGATTAGAGAGGGCACAATATCCTCCTTCCTTTCTAAAATGAAAACGTTGGATTTTAATTATGTTTTAGGTCTTTACATTTTATGCTTGGAAATAATTAAGCCAAGAAAGAGCGAAGGCCCTTTCTTAGTGATGGGCCCGTCACCACTTTGCTCACATGTTAGATCCTAGGTACACCGAAGAACGCTCACGGCAGACGATCAAGATTGGCGCCTTTTTGTTAGTCTCTGTCAACTGTCGTCTGCTTCATTGAAAAATGAAGCGTTCATGTTAACGTGAGTTGTCACAGTCAGCCGACGTCGTGAGCCCTAGACGTACGTGTCAGGGCTCATTTCTGTCTCACTTACACCTCCGCCTAAGGGCCTTCGGCTACGATTTCACAGCTAAAACTCATTAACTTCTTAATACAGCCATCAGGCATTACTCCGATCCTGTTATTGACGGACAAACTAATACCTTGGCCCTCATGTTTACAAATATATTTTACCGGACGCTTCTCAAATGAACTCATACGCGGACGTCTACAGATGTGATTGATTGGATGTCGGCCAAATATGTCTTTATCCGTAACTGACCATTCCTGACCGTGTCACGGAGTAAAACTAGAATTGTAGCCACTCCCAGTTCTTACTATTTAAGATATACGACATTACTGGATTGATGATATATTTTATCTGTGTATATCTAACGCTGAAACGAATGCCGAATTTCTTTTTCAGATAAAAAAAATCGAATCAGAACAAATCAATGTACTTTTTTGTGTAAATTTTTATGTGAATGTAATGTCTATTTCTCGTTTTGAGAAGGAATGTCTATTTCACAGTAAAATTTATAGTTTTAGATATAGATATGGACGAACTTACTTGCATAATAATACCAAAGAGGTATAACCAATTATTATGCTAATAGTAATAAAGTTTATTTTACTTACCCTTCTACCGGCTTCATTATTCTGCAAGTTCATCAGCATTCTCGCCAGCTCTTTCGAGAATCTCGGATGGTTCATTTCCCGTTCTCGTATATCCACGAACCCCGTGGCTAAGTTGTATCCGTACACGAGGTTATCCCCGCACCCGCCCCATATCCAGTCTCTGTGTAGGGTCTTCGGGCGCAGAGCCCCGCTACAGCCGCACTTACGGAGCTCCCCGTCTCGGCACGCTCGGCTGATGGACCATGTAACTCCTGCCGCAGATATAGCGTTCACAAATGCTGCCTCTCGACTCGCTGAAATAAGGATGAAATTTTGGTGAAAAAGAAAAAGTTGCCATCGTAATATTTAAATCACAAACATCTTTGATTGTGGTTGGACAAGAAACAATAAGTATTGAAACGCTAACCGTGATTGGACAATGAACAATAACCAATGTGACGTTGATTATCTTGTAACAAGAACGGCAACTGACGTACAATGATTGGGTGAATAAACAACAATCGAAGTGACAATCACTTAAGAGGACAATAAATAATCAAAATGTATTTCGTTTTGACGACAAAGTGACAGATGACGTAATTCACCAACCACAGACGTAACATCATTTTTGACAGGACGTACAATAAAACGTAAGGATCTTTTGATAGGACAATGAAAGTACAATCGACGTAACACTCGTATTGATTGGTTAAAAAAACGACTCGTCGTAATGATTGGGCAATAAAGTGATTATAGACGTAACCCTGATAGCGATTGGCCATAATTTTTGTTGCTAACACTGAAACCAAGGAATCCTTATCCAGTGGAATTCAGTCAAATCAGGGTATTCTAAAATTCGTCCAATATATAGTTAAATTAATTAATCTTTATGTTTAGAATAACTTGTAACTTTATCACAACATCATTATTTTTTATTTTCATTTCTATGTTTTGGTTCTAAATAATTTCTTTTGTTTTTCTTTTTTACTGAATCTTATTTATGTGACTGATTTTAGTGTATTTGTCGTTTTAATTTTACTAATTTTAAATAATTTTGTAAAGCGATTTAATTAATCATTATTATTATTTTATTTAACTGTTTTTAATCCATTGAAAAGCTGGGGAACTTTAAGTTACAGATACAGTTTATTATAATTCAAACATGATAACTCAGGAAAAATTCTTGACTCAAAAACTCGTAAGCTCGAATAGTAGTAGTAGCACGGTTGTTTTACGTGAACGCCATGAGACATTAGGCCAAGAGAAAAACAGCTTGTTGTGCAGCAGCAGCTTGGATACCAGCTGGGATCTCGTTGGGCAAGCACGTTCACGAACGCTCGTCGTTGTTTTAACGGCGCTATTTTTTTATCGACTCATGCATTATTACCCTTCTCCACTTCAGTAGATAGACAAACTGCAACAGAATCCCAACATTTATTATACCTGTGTTTGAACTTCAGACATTAATTGCACACCAAATTGTATTTGTAATGTTTAAGAGAACGCTTACATAAAAACAATTTCTCTGTTTCCGTTATAATTTGTTTTAATATTTAGCGTGAGCACAAATGCACGTATATTGGTATAAACGCACATACACATACACACAAACGCGTGTACCTGCACAAACAGAACGAGTAATGTTTAACTTTTTTATGCAGCACAACACCAATTAACCTATTTGTTTATAAAAGGAAATAATAATATTTTGTTTTTGTTTTGATAAGAAAAAATTTCAAGCTGAAGCACAACAGCTATAAATCTATTTGTTTATAAAAGGAAATCATTATGTTTTGTTTTTGTTTTGATAAGAAAAAATTTCAAGCTGGCCGGGGTGAAAGATCAGCCGCAATTTGACCGTGCCGTCGGCCACGTGTTTTTTTAAAGGAGAAACAAAATCCTTCAGCGTTCTCGGCGTAATGTTGTGACATCTTAGAGAGTGGCATTCTCGAGGTCGCTGACAGACACACGTCAAATCGAACCCACAAAATGTGAATAATCCACTCACAGTGAAGTAAATGTTGTATTTTTATAACCAGATCTAGTCTACCGCATACGGCTGTTAAGGAGAATTCCTGGGAGGGGTGTACTTTATGTAAGTGGACTGTTATGCTCAACCACTTTTTTATAGGGCTCAAAACATCTAAAATGGATATCAAAGTTACACAAACTGTAATGGATGGAACTTTTTATGGAGAAGGTGTTTTTATTAATGGTCTTTCTTTTGTCATTTTAAGGTAGTGTTTAAATGAAGTAATGTAGTAGATTGGTTTTGATCAACATCGTCTGGTGGAATCTCTTTCTCTCTACCTGTCTTACTTTGTTTCCTCCCTCTTTTTCTCCACAATCCTTTCAACAATCAATATATATCATAATTTTCTCGCTCTCTGCAATCTCTTCTTATACGTACGATCAAATAAAAAACCCACGCCTTCCAATGTCAATTTGTAAATGCATATATGGACTCCATGTATATGTTACTGTCTCTTTAATTTCCAAATTGTAAAATGCTCTTTGCAGCATACCCTCCCCCCCCCCCCCCCAAGCACGCAAAACCCTGGCAAATGACAACACAACGCTGGGTCGCTGTCTGTCTGTGTCTCTAAAACATGAGACGTACATCACGTAGTCAGCGTTATGACGTAATAGACCTCGTGACACGGAGCATCTTCACATTGTTGGCTGAACTTTTGGCATTCCAAACTCCGCGTATGAGGTAGAAATGTTCGTGCTCGCCATTCTTACTCTGCACCGAATGACCTTTTTTGTCCAAGGTCTACAAAGTGTGAATTAAGTGTATATATGGCTATATTGAGAGCAATTACACCGTAAAGTTTTAACTCACTCAGCTTGTTATAGTCCATCAATCAGTCACAGATAAAAAAAAAACAGACGAGCATCAGTCTGAGAAAAGAATCTGATATATATTTTGATGGTGATATCAGGAAACGAAGCGACAGATTTATAGTGAGCCTTTTGCTGTTCTTTTTTGTTTTCATTCATGCATTTGCGTTTCATTCTGGTCCCAGACATAGCGTTTTGTTACAATGCGACCAAAGATGCACGCAGGAACAACTCGATCCACAGGATTTGGAAGAAAATTAGTTAGTGTTCTTTTTGCAAGTTTCAATTCATACTGGACAATGCTGGGAAGAACGAGGTGTCGTGATGTTAAGCGGGAGTTGTCAGTGATACAGGTAGCGTTCCTAAACACCAATTACCCTCATATCTCTACATGGAAACCGATATCAAGATTTGATGTCAAAAACTGTCAAAACAACGTAACTCTGTCTTCGTCAACGCGCAAAGCAGGAACACGCACAGAGCGCGGAGAACGCGAGGACAGACGCTAGAACAGAGGAAGGCCTATCACGCCGCGCGCGCTGCCAGTTCGGTGACGTTCCACGAAGTGACAGGTCTGGCGCGTGAGTGAATCGCTTTACAAGGTACCATTCCTCCTATTTTTCGCTTATTTGAACTTTTTCATGGCATCAGGCAAGGCTGGGTGGGTTTCTCTTTTTCAGCCATCACGCTGAATCACCCCCGTCTGAGAGAGAACAGAATGGGGGCCGTAAGTGGCGCGAACAACAGAATGAAAAGAAGACGCAGTATAAAAGACGCGTTCAAAAGGGTCTTCATTTAAGAACTGCTTAACGATTTCAAAGATATCTCAACCATGTAACTCTATTAAAAGATTCCAGAGAGATTTGCTGGCGAGCTGGATGTACAATGGTCGTGCTCATATCAAAGGTGACCTAGCTTTAGGCAAAGCATTATGAACCACACACAGACATGAAGCAAAGTGAAAACGCACGGTGGTATATTATAGTATAATAGAGAGGTGCTTTATGAAAAGAAACTGGCACGGAAAGGAGCAGGAATGCCAAGCCCCCCCCCTCCTCTACCATTACTAGACCACCCTACGCTATAACCTAATGCTTTTCTCAATATAATCTTTCAGCAAGACGATCATAAACAGACCTTTGATTATGTGTACTGGTATAATTAGTCTAAGAATAAACTTTATGTCACGTCATACCAAACCAGTGCATATATTCGCTAAAATGCTTTGTGTTATTCTTTTTTTAAGTTTTATACTTTATTTAGTCCAGCCGAGGAAAAGTGCTACAAACGTGTAAAACAAAAGGCCGTTTTGGTGGAAATACAATCGTTTTGTCGTATTTAACGTGTAATGTGTATAATCATTCTTTTCTTATTGTCAGATTGAATGCTTCAAATACAGAATGTCAAAATATTTCGTGATTTTATTTGAAAATGTGTAAGAGTTAAGTGCGCTTAATTTCACCTTGTTTTGGCAGTTTTCTGTGACCAGAAACGCCTATGCAATTGCCCAGAAAAATATGCGAAACAATTCGACACTAGGCATTTCATTTCTCACTGAAAGCGGAAAAAGAACATTACACTTTATTTGACATGCAAGGGAAAAGACAGGCAAACAAACAACAAAAACATCATTTTTTCAAAAGAAAAAAGTCAGTGAATCGCTTCCCATATTTTTCTTTTTTAGTTTATCTATATGAAGAATTAAAAGCACACCAAACAAGGTCAGTAAGGAACACACTGTTAATAGACTCATTTCCTCTCAACCAATGGGAGTCATCCAGGATAGCTAAAGTATCGCGATTTTGCGTAAAATCAAGTGAGATCTCGCGGGATTTGGAGGAAGGACGGGTAAAAAACACTGGTCGACTACCAAGTTGCTACAATTAAATTACCCAGCTTGGCTGTATGCGTGTTCTACGTGTTTTCTCTCCCCCATGTTTTATTTAAGCATCATACTCTTTTTATTTATTACCTTTATTACCGTTTTATAACGTATATCAGAAAATAGATGAAGATCGAGGAGTATAAAAAACAGTAATGTTGGCAACCCCGCACACGTGTGTTAAGTATCGTGAACTTGTCCCTTACTGTAGAGTCCACTTAACAACACACCTGGCATCCGACACGGCGTCCAGCGCTTGATGAATCACCCTGTTAACACGATGAACGCTGGCCAGGAATGCGCTACACGGCACTACTGTGAAAACACATGTTGCACAGTGATAAAAGACAGTTAATGTACCCTGGCAATAATGTCGCTGTCACGGAGTCCAGGTTTGGACTTGACAACATCACAATACCTGATGTACTAAGGTATTCAAGAGGTCGTTTTAGAGAACTTAAGCTGTATCTTATTTAGTATTTTAATTAGTTAATGCATTTAAGCGTTTTAAAGAATAGGATGCAGAGTAACACACACCACACACACACACACACACAAACAGCGCATTCAGCGGATCAAATCATAGTGACACCATAATGCATGAAGCCGTGGTAGAATTCAAGAACACACTTTGCTTCTAAGTCATTGCTTTATATATAAAAAAAACTCACAGACAATCGCGATTTGAGCGAGAAATTAGAGGTGTATGTTAACCGATTGAGGCAGCAGAAGCGAACAAATGACGACAAGACAGAGGTGGCCATACACAGTTGTTTATCAATCTAACCCTTGTACCCGGCGCAGCTTACCTGCCAAAGTTAAAGGCTCGTATTCGACATATCATACCCACTTTGTGATATCGTTTTACCAGACCTAGTACACCTAGTCACCTGTTCCTGCTTCGGCCCAGCGGCGATCATTTAAATCGAGATTATCTTTTCTTCACGTTGGAAAATGAAGTTCTACAAACCATTACAAGTGACTGTTTGAATAAAGACAAATGAACGCACGAATATATATTTGTTGGCAAATCAGCATGAGTCATGTTGTAGGAAGGCTTTACCCCAGGTAAATAATTTCAGATAACATATAGGTTAAGTTATTCTCGAAAAAACAACAACAACTGCAGAACAACAATTTCCTCCTTTTGTCAGAGGTATAGTGTCCGTTTCATTTCACGTCAAAAGAGCTTTTTTTCTACTGAGTGGGAAGCGACTGAAATTTCCGAACCGTAGGATATTCCATGAGAGAGAGAGAGAGAGAGTATCACATACTGGTAAGATGAATTGCGGTAACTTCGAAACTGTACCCCGTAGTCTGCTTACACATTAAACGAGGTTTTTAAGAGAGTTGATGCCATGAATGGACATATCAGTCAATCTCAAGAAAATAAAGCAGAAGCCCTGCGGAAGTTCTGACCGCCAAATGGAGAGTTGATCCTATCGTCTGCTTCAATAACGTTTCTGAAAGCGTCCAACGTTCGCCTCAAGACTTTGCCATTGAAAATTGGTTAAAAGTTGATTGAATGAATGTTGTGAATGTTTCGGGGCATGTCCGTTAAAAGTGACGAGAATAGAGAGCGTAGTGGTCAGGCGGAAAAAGTCACTTAACTTTACCAAATGCGTTCCTTCTATTCAAGCGAGCCTTGAGATTTATAAAAGATCTCTTTTTCGCCTCCCAGTGTTATGGAATTAAGGGGTCGGGTGTCCCCCCGGAAGGGAAAGATAACTCAGAAACGAGCCCGTTACTACTTCGGACAAAGAAGTGTCGAAAACGTAGGAGAAACATTTGGAAAAACAGAAACAAGATTGGACACTCGATTTTAATATGCTAATTGACCTAGGGGTATTTTTTTCGTTAACTAACCCAAGGAACGCCGATTAAGTAACACGGGTAGAGAGGGGCCTCCTTTCACCCTGGGGGTACACCTCCCTTGGGTTCCTATCATTGCGCAATGTGCGATATTAAGTATTACAACATTTATTGAAATTACCCGGCTAAACTAACATCCTTATCTGACCATTCATCTGCGAGTTATTGGTTTACAAAATACCTGACCTAACCAAAAACAGCAGAGGAATAATTCCTCACCCGCTATTGATTCAAATCGCTACATTCTTCAGTCAATATGGGGATCAAGTCAAATACCTCGTAAAACCGCGAACACAACTATTCTTTATCCATCAACGTTTACGATCTCGGCTTTCTTTAATCGATATCTTGAACATATTCTTAACGAATGGTTTCCCATTGTATCCGCAGAAGTGCCGCTAACTACACTCAGGCTTTCATCACGTCGTGGTAATAAAAACCAGAAGAAAAACCCCCAGAAATGGTTAACGCCGTTTACAAACGGACTTCTGTTACAAGAAAAACAATTGGAAAAAGACGGTTCTTTATTTTTGAGCATCCAAGTCAACGCACATGTCGATGCGTTGGCGGGACCATACTGAAGGAATTTACTTCTTTTTCAACATTTAAATCCTCGGTACCTATAACATTTTACTTTCATTTAACAGAGTCTATTTTCGTGTTGCACATATGTAAAGCAAGTCGTAAATAGCACAAAGACGAAAGTGCCGACTGAAAAAAATCATTATGGTTCTTTATCGTAAAATCCAACCTAAGTACTGTGTGCTTTACTTGTATTTGTACCTTCTAGAAATGATACTAGGTGTCTGGCCAGCCTTTGTTTTTGTAGATTTTGTTTTTAAAAGATTATTTAAACATTCATTTGATGTTGTTGTCCTCTTCAAATGAGCGATTTCTGAAATATTTAACTCGAACGAGAGAGATGTCCAGTCCTACTCTGGTTTCTGTAAGCACCGTTTCCATTGTTGTTTTGCCAAACTGGGGAAGCAGATGTCGACAGAGGCAAGATGGGTTTTCCACGTGAACTGACGAAACCCCCGAGAACAAAACAAACCGAACTGGAATTCTTTGTTCTAAATGGAGAAATATTCCACATGATTAACATACGCGATCTCTAGCAATGTTTGCCCAGAGAGAAAGAGAGAGAGGGGGGAGGGGTTGGGGAGAGAGAGAGAGAGAGAGAGAGAGAGAGAGAGAGAAAGAGGGATGGTTGGAGAGAGGGAGGGAAGAAGGGAGGACAAACCCTCCAAACCGTTAAATACTGCATCAACAGGCTCATGTTCTTCGTATTTCCCGTTAGTCACTTAATGAAAGTCTAATGTCTTCCTCGGCGACCACACCGACATGCCTCACTTAAGGCGTTTCACAATTCGGATTCAAACAACATCCCTCGTCTCCTTAAGAGCGTTCCGGTCATCAAGCTAATTCTCTACGACTACCTACAAAGTTGCGGTTGATCTTCTAACATTATAACAAACTTTATAAGAATTCCGGGACAGTAATGAAGACAAAATAAGCTAAATATTTCCCTAAAGGGACGAGCGTCGACTGACCCCGAATCTGTAATGGAGCAATGGACGTCTGATCTATGGAAATATCGCGTGTTAAACAACCTTCTTTAAGAGAGTGGATAAAAAAGATGAAAACTGCGTTGGGTTGGTCGAGGAGAGATGAAAGACATAGACGTATTAGACGTGACAGAAAACCCCTCTAAAGGGGGCTGCAGTTTCATTTCAAAAGATGTTTCTGGACGCGGGTAATGACTTTTGGATCAGCATGCGGAAATGAGGGCCTTGGCTATTAGTTCGTATTCAACTCTCCCCGTGCTACATGGCGTGTCTATAGAGAAAGGTGTGCAGCGAACATCGGCGGAATACTCACCGCTTTTCTTTGATATTACAGTTTGGGACATTGACGGATGGCCAGGGATTGAAGGCAGTTGATGAGTTTCCGTGCGGCTTTGGTTAAGATAGCGGAGCCCCCCCCCCCCCCCCAAATTCCGTACAGCGCAGAACGCACGGAGCAAGTTTCTCAACTGGTGCTTTAGAAACAACTTGATCACAAAGCCATAATTTCTTAATATCCCAAATAAATCAACGGAATGCCGCAGTATATGTATAGTTTCGGATACCTTGATAACTAAGAGGCTTGGCATTCATATTTTTACGTAGAACGCATGTGACAGATGTGAGAAGGATGGAAGTATTTGAACTCAAACAACCTGTCATTTGGCAATATGAAAATGTGGATTTAGGAATCAAAATACGATCAATAAAATCGATCAATAAAATCGGTGATTTACATCATAACAGTAGTTCCAGATAATCGAAAAAAAAAAATGAATCCAAACCCCGAATACTCGTCATAATACAAGGTCCTGTCAAGTCTCTATTACACAAGGTTTCCGACCGGTTAAAGAACGAATTTTGCCCACTCTCCCCCTTCCACATAAGAGCTTGGGTAATATTTGATACAACAGTTTTAATGAACTTTAAATATTACAATCATTTCCTTTGTTTACATATTTCTGACAGTGGACATATATTCGTTCTTCAAGCTGTCACAAACCGAGTGTGACAACAGCTCGCAAAACCCCCGTAGAAAACCCTTTAATAAATCCCAGAATACTAGAACACCAAACAAAAAGCAACCTCACCTATATTGATCACCGGGCCAAACACCGAGGCGTCATCCACCGTGCTACAGTTCCACCGTCTCTCCATAAACTGTCGCTGACACTCCCGGATCCCCAGACGAGCCCCGCGGCTGATGGCCGGCATATGGTCCTGGTAGGTCTGGCACAGCTTGGTCTGCTGGACGGACAGCCCCGGCAGCTGGCTACACAGGGGCTGAGCGCTTAAGATGTACAGCTGAGGGTTCCGGAGAACGCCTAAGTTCCTGGGAGAGAAATGGTGTGAGGCGTTTATTAAAGTTGATGTAATGTTGAGAATTGTGATAACGAAATATGTAGAAATTACTGGGTGGAATCAATATTGGGTAATTCAAAGGAGAATGTGTCTTTGTCTAAGAAGACTGTTACCAAAATTGTTTTAAGATTTTTTTTATATAAAAAAGGGACGGAGAAGAAATTGAAAAATTGTAATTAAACTAGAATGTTGTATTTTGAAAAAAAAAGAACAAGAAAGAAATGAAACAAAAATGGCTTATTCTGAGACATTCTCAATCAAAGTATAAAGATAAGGAAATGTAAGAAGTTGATCGATACAATATTTTTTCTTTGACCAATCACTTCTCAGGGGCACCAAAAATGCGGGATGACAAGCTCTGGAAATTGCAGAGCAACTATTTTCCTCTGTAATAATAAAGTTATATCTCAATTTGTTGTGGAGATTCATTTTACATGAATGACAATTAACAAATTCAATGACTTCATTATAGAATTTGGCATTGTACTGATTTCAGTATTTCAGTATTTTTATAATTAAGAGAATATCCACAAGGATAGAAACGCCAAAGAAAATAGATTACGATTTAACCTAGCCAAAAATCCACAGACCTTTACATGGCCAACGATGCGACTATGCAGAAACTTATTTGCTTTTCATTAAAGATAACATTTGAAAATTAGATCAAATCGAATCTTCGTCAAAGATAAAAACAGCAGAAGAAATGAAGAATCATAAAAACACCCGAGAGGGAACGACACAAATCTAATAACCCAGGAATATTTTACCATACCGCGTTCAGATGTAAGGATCAAAGACGCCAAGATCGATATATATTCAATTTAAGCCGTTGATGTTACTCTATTAAAAGCTCATCAGCAGTGGCACGGCGTGTTTCACAACTATTTCTATTTGCATCATTAGGTACTTCACCAGACGAAAAACTGCAGTGCACTGTCTGTTATTTTAAACAAAACAAATCCCCGCACACACAGTCTATACTCGCCTGCTAAAAATTTAAAACGTGATCAGTTATTCACTTTTGCCAAAGTGGCAAGAAATTGAACCAGATTGCCTTAAATGATAATTCTAGAAAATATTGACATTCTTCCTGCACCTACTGACCTGATCCACTTTTTTCCCAAAATGGCCGACAAAGGCCATGAAATGACCTAATATTTATTCGCCACGTAGTAATTTTTGTTATGGGTGAAATGGTTTGTAATTAAAAGCAACATGCTAGTTAAAAGTGCAAATGTATCAAAATTAAGTAAGTTAAATTACCACTTGTCTATATGACTAAACTCATCATCGGATCTGTCACGTTTTTCTCTTTTTTATACAATGTACAACCATCCAAATCGCGCTCTTCATTGTTTTATGGACACAAGACAACTAAAATATCTGGAGTGGTATTAAGTAGTGATATACAAGAACAAATAATTGGATTGTGTCAACTCCCCGCCTCGATTTTCTGGCTTTTTGAATAGTTTACAATGAATTAGAAAAAAAGTGTACTTCTTTAACTACCTTCGTCAACCGGGGTGTATGTACACGTAATAGAATTTAACGGTAATCTATTTAAAATATCAACAAACCAATTCGGAGGTACAATGTCATAATCGTAACATGATAATTCCTTGGAAAGAATTCACTTATAGACGAATTTACGATGGCCTTATATGTGTGTGTGTGTGTATGTTTGTGTGTGTGTGTGTGTGTGTGAGAGAGAGAGAGAGAGAGAGAGAGAAAGGGAGAGAAGAAGAGAGAGAGAGAAAATGTCGCAACCCAACCAGTAAATGTTAAAGGGTTTATGTAACTTGAGCTTTGAAACACAGATTCCGTACATTTAAAGCTATAATAACCGGCCTCCCTGTACATAATGCTATACCGTGAGTAAAAGTATTGTTGTATTAAACGTTATATTATAATTACGAGGGGTTTAATTCATCGACCTTAACACCTGAGAGTTTTACATGACAAGGAGTGAAAGAACGACGTAATCAAGCACTGTAATTACAATAATAAAGAACTATAATGGTCTGATGTAACGGAGTGAATGGTACTTTTATTGTATATTAGAACCTTTAGGTCGAGAGCGCGGTTTGTAATTTTGCCCTTTTCAAATACTTCGAGGATTTCACGTTATTGGATACTGACCTCTCTCTCTTTCTCTCGGTGTGATGATAAGGTCTATACATATAGTGTATAATTCAAGTAATATACAAACTCCCAGTGGACAAAATTACTTTATTCTAGCAAGGCTTACCTTTTGTCGTTTTTATTCAGAAAACTTTGATACTTAACAAAAAACAGGGAAATAAATGAGATGAAAATCACAAGACTCAGTTATGTCAGTTTCTGTAGTCGGAGTTCGAAAGATATAAAATATGGATACATTATAAGTCGGAATGGACAATATTACTCATATAAGACTGCAGAGGCTTAGTACGTGTGTTCAGCCATCAAAGCATGCGCATTTTCTGCTCGAGGAACCTGGTATTATATCTTAACAAATAAAACACGTGTAGCGATTTTCAAGGTGCGGAGAGAGAGAGAGAACAAAGCTGTCGCCCCCCCCCTCTCCCCCGCCCCTGGAACGCGGCCAATAGCAAGTCAAGTGTGTGTGATCGTTATTGTGTCAACAGAGGTAGTAGGACTTAAAGTTTGCCAATATTGTACCGACTGTTGTTATAGACGGGGGATTAGCCCGATTGGAAATTTAATAACATCAGGGTTGAATGGGTGAGAGGGAAGATACGGTGCTTCAGGCAGGGCGGGTGGGGGGGGGGATACCAGGGGAGTTTGGTGGGGTGATGGTTAGGTTGACGCCATAGACGAGAGACGCTGAGATGGGTTGGGTGGGGTAGGGTTGCCGTCAAATGAGTGCAGTTCTTCATTTTGAAATATACAGCCGTTAAATGAGGTTTCTGTTATTCATATGCCAAGGTACTTTAACGCGTTTTTTCGCCTCTTTATTTTAAAGGCCATTTCAGCTACCTACCCCTCTTATAGACACAAAATAAACCCTTGAGAATATATCTGTAAATATTCGGATAGGCACTTGGTATGTGTAATTATCTGTGAAATTCCTCCTCTTTGTTCTGTTTTTTTTTTCTCCACAAAATACATTTGTTATTGTATTGTGTATTTAGCTATTGACAACAGATCTTATTGCTTTCAGAACGATTATGTTTTCAACTTTGTAAGAAATATGGGATAGGTTTGAGAAGCGAACCAGTGACAGCTCTCACCTGACATTTTATCCACACTCTATCGACAAGCTTATCTAACGGTAATTATAATACCTGCAACACTTGAGGACTCTTTTGGAGGTAAATATCTAGAGGCCGAGGCTGGCCCTCACGCTGGGAGATCCCTATAGTTTGTTGACTTTCTATTTAAGCCACTGAAGAGAACAAACAGAGATCGCCTTAGATCTTTATAATTGCACTGTTTCTGATCGTGATTCCTTTAAGATTCACATTTCTCTCAATCGAAAACGATGCTGACGTTATCAGTGTGTTTGACTGTTGTCTTCTCATTTCACTTACGATTACTATTTGGTGGACCTAGGGTTAGGGCTCTTGTTTTCTGAACACGTTCATAATCGGTCTAACTTAGACCAGGCGTCAACTAAATGACGTCATGAAATTGTTTAACGCACATTTCGGTATTCAGGATTTAAGCTCTTAAGGGGATTACCTACTTAATCAAGTTTTTTTTATATCAGTCTCATGATTTTCAGTTTAAGTTTTTCTCGTTATGAACACAACCGGCGTCAAGCTATGAACGTGCCAGGAAAGCACGTGCGGCGACGTCCATTCTCATTGATAGCAGTTTAATCAAAAGATACAGTTTATCGAATTTAGATTCCTCACATGGAAATCACGCCGATGCCGATCTGCAGAGTAATGCCTAGTGAATGGATTACATCCCTGTCTCTTGTCATAAGAGGGATTGATAGCGAACCTTCATGGGGCGAGACTAATGAAAATGTCTTGTGTGCAACACGATGGAGTGAAATCTATCTTCCGATATCAAAGGGACCTCTCTATTCCCCGTACTGTCTACTGGCAATATNACCAGGGGGGTGGGGGGGGGTGGTTAGATTGATGCCACAGACGAGGGAAGCTGAGATGGGTGGGGGTGGGGTTAGGATTGCCGTCAAATGAGTGAGTTCTTCATTTTGAAATATAGAGCCGCTAAATGAAGTTGTTGTTATTCATATGCCAGGGTACTTTAACGCGTTTTTTCGCCTCTTTATTTGAAAGGCCATTTCAGCTACCTACCCCTCTTATAGACACGAAATAAACCCTTGAGAATATATCTGTAAATATTCGGATAGGCACTTGGTATGTGTAATTATCTGTGAAATTCCTCCTCTTTGTTCTGTTTTTTTTTCTCCACAAAATACATTTGTTATTGTATTGTGTATTTAGCTATTGACAACAGATCTTATTGCTTTCAGAACGATTATGTTTTCAACTTTGTAAGAAATATGGGATAGGTTTGAGAAGCGAACCAGTGACAACTCTCACCTGACATTTTATCCACACCCTATCGACAAGCTTATCTAACGGTAATTATAATACCTGCAACACTTGAGGACTCTTTTGGAGGTAAATATCTAGAGGCCGAGGCCGGCCCTCACGCTGGGAGATCCCTATAGTTTGTTGACTTTCTATTTAAGCCAATGAAGAGAACAAACAGAGATCGCCTTAGATCTTTATAATTGCACTGTTTCTGATCGTGATTCCTTTAAGATTCACATTTCTCTCAATCGAAAGCGATGCTGGCGTTATCAGTTGGGACGGTGTGTTTGACGGCTGTCTTCTCATTTCACTTACGATTTCTATTTGGTGGACCTAGGGTTAGGACTCTTGTTTTCTGAACACGTTCATAATCGGTCTAACTTAGACCAGGCGTCAACTAAATGACGTCATGAAATTGTTTAACGCACATTTCGGTATTCAGGATTTAAGCTCTTAAAGGGATTACCTACTTAATCAAGTTTTTTTTTATATCAGTCTCATGATTTTCAGTTTAAGTTTTTCTCGTTATGAACACAACCGGCGTCAAGCTATGAACGTGCCAGGAAAGCACGTGCGGCGACGTCCATTCTCATTGATAGCAGTTTAATCAAAAGATACAGTTTATCGAATTTAGATTCCTCACATGGAAATCACGCCGATGCCGATCTGCAGAGTAATGCCTAGTGAATGGATTACATCCCTGTCTCTTGTCATAAGAGGGATTGATAGCGAACCTTCATGGGGCGAGACTAATGAAAATGTCTTGTGTGCAACACGATGGAGTGAAATCTATCTTCAGATATCAAAGGAAGCTCTCTACNTAGACCAGGCGTCAACTAAATGACGTCATGAAATTGTTTAACGCACATTTCGGTATTCAGGATTTAAGCTCTTAAGGGGATTACCTACTTAATCAAGTTTTTTTTATATCAGTCTCATGATTTTCAGTTTAAGTTTTTCTCGTTATGAACACAACCGGCGTCAAGCTATGAACGTGCCAGGAAAGCACGTGCGGCGACGTCCATTCTCATTGATAGCAGTTTAATCAAAAGATACAGTTTATCGAATTTAGATTCCTCACATGGAAATCACGCCGATGCCGATCTGCAGAGTAATGCCTAGTGAATGGATTACATCCCTGTCTCTTGTCATAAGAGGGATTGATAGCGAACCTTCATGGGGCGAGACTAATGAAAATGTCTTGTGTGCAACACGATGGAGTGAAATCTATCTTCCGATATCAAAGGGACCTCTCTATTCCCCGTACTGTCTACTGGCAATATCGACACAAAACTTGCTTGTCTGATACGCTTGCCGATCAATGAAGGCACATGACAAGAACGCTTTGAGACTTCGTCACTGTAGCTGGCCCGGGTTGGTACCATAATGAGTGATACTGGGGGGAGGGGGAGGGGGTAACAGATAATAATATCAAGATTATTTATTTATTTGAGGTTGGGGCCTATCGAGAACTAACTGTTGCATAATTATGAAACTGGATTCAATTTTTTTTTTTTTGAAAAAAATATTATTATTTATTTCACTTACCACCACATGTGATTTACTGCAGACGATAATAAGATCTGGCCTAACAAGACCACCGCTAGTAAGACGCGGTGTAAGTCACAGCGTTCTCTCCACGCCATTTTGTTCTCCCTGACTTCTAATCCACTGTCTTCACTCACATCAGTGCTGTGTTCCGTTTAAATCTTTCTGAATGATCCTGCCCTCTTACCGCCAGCCTGAAATTGAGAAAAAACAAAGGTTGACATTCCTGCAATTAACCCTGTCACATCCACCTCGCGCTACGGCTTCTCCGCAACTCACTTAAAACCTTTTAAAGCGTTTAACGGCGGAGGCAAGAGGTGCACATTTAACGTGTTCTGTTTCAGAGTTTTACAGTGACACTCGCTGCTCTTCTCTCAGTTGATTGCTGGGGTTTCTGTAGACTATGATGAACGCTGAAGTATGCTTCTGAGTACTTTGGACTCAAGGTCTATTTAACAGGTTTTAAAAACAACATAACACTGGTAGACTCAACGCTTCATTTAACTCCACAGAGAAAAAATAACGTGTAGGGTTCGTCGGGTTTAAGACCCTCTGTGCTATATTTATATAATAATAATAGTAATAACACGGAAACGTAGAAATATTTTACAACAGCAGGTCGATCTATAGTGTGGTTTGCCCGGGTGCTTGCGAACTTACTATCACATAAAGATAGCGTTTTAAGAAAACTTTCGTCACAAAAATTACTGCTCACAAAACCCTAAACGTACATCCGATAAGTAGCATTTCCTGAATATTTTGACTGCTAAACACATATCCCTTGACGGGTTGTCAAGGTTGGTCGGTGAAAAATCTCAGTTTCCTGAGCCCTTTATTTCAACACTAGGCGTTGTTAAAGTTTGTCTGAGCGTTCGTCACTCTGCCATACAACTCAGCCAAAACGTAGCAAGGTCTTCAAATGCAGAAAATATCTGTTCAGACATTTGGGATATTCTTGTTAAGAAATTTTAAGAATCTTCAGCAGTAAAGGTAGAGAGTGGATCTGAGACTTTGCGTTTTCTCTAAGAGAAATGAAAAATACTGAGCACAAACATCAAGTGATTTCGTCTGGTGTCTTTCCCAAACTCTGCCTTCTCAGTGACACAAGGTAAGGAAACACCTAGCGTTCTGTGCGCTCTCACAAAGGACAGGTCAATCGTAAGATTGTATGACAACCAAACTAAATGTCACTGCATTGTGGACGCGAAGTTCGTGTCGTGACCCGCGTTAAGTTGACAGTAATTTGGGATCAGAGTCAATCCTTTCACAGTGTCACTCACGACACTCCTCCCAGCGAAGATGCACCCCTCTTTGTTCTCCGCTCGACAAATCCCAGGGCCTAAAGTTCATTATAATGTTGCCATTGGCCTCGGTATCTTGTTATAAACTTAATGATATGGCCCTGCGAACTGAGATATCAACTCGGTGAGAGGCTTTCTTGTTCCGACTTTGGCACGCCCCCCTCAGGCGTGTGACCGATACTTGGGAGAGTTAGACCGCGTTAACAAATATCACCTTAAACCCAAATGTTTGCTGTTTATCAAAAGCTCACAAACCGCAAGCATATCGCCCATATGAAACTACAGGAGTGTGAATTAGAAGGGAAAGTCGAGAGTTTGACAAAGAGGTGACCCAATCGGATGGTGGTATTAAACGACACAGGATAATGTTTTGATGCTGATATTACACATGTTAACAACAGTGGTTCGCCACACGTAACATGAACTTCCACATGTTCGGCATTGTGAGAAGAAATACATTTCTCCGTCGATACCCGGCATAAATCAAAGTTTGTAAATATTCCAAAATTACTCTATTTTCCGCTTTGTGTTCGCATTCACTTGAAAGTTAATCAAGCGGTTCAGCGACTCGGTGGTATGTTGAACTTTTTTGTCAGTTCGCTCCGATCAAATAAACCGACTAATGACACGAAAATTCGTGTACAAGGGTCGCTCTTGGTAGCACGGAGGGCCTTTCTACACGGTACCTCTGCATCACAATCCCTGGCATCATTGATAATTACTGACCAGAAAAGAGGGTTCTTCTTACGTTTTGTCGTCGGCCCTTGCCCGAGGAGAAAGTTGTGCTTGAGACAGGCCTAGTGTAAACGAGAGCTCGGTGTGTATCAACAAATAGCTAAAACACTCTTGTTGAACTAGAGATTATTAATAAGACGGATAGCTTATACAAAGTAACTAATCCGCGGCCTTAGAGAAACTTCATACATATTTAACCCCCTTCAATGATTTAATCAGTTATGGAAATTCGATGATTCTAGAAATTCTTTGTTCACAAGATACCTCTGTTTTTCCATTACAAAAAAGACGTCTGCCGTGGTACGTTAGCCCTGTATTGCGTTAGAATTGTGTGTGGGAAAAAATAAACGGAAAAGGTGTGCTCGGTTTCAATGCAGTCCCAAATATTTTGACATTTGGTCGCGGTATTTTATTTGTTTGTTCTCCGCCATAATTATTTGTTCCAATAAACATCAAAAGGGGATGTGGCTAAAATAAGAATTTAAAAAGACTAAAAAACAGCCGCCTTTTTTCTTAAGTGCGTCTTTGCCGGGCAAGACCCCAGACTTAAAACATCCTTTAAACTGCTTAAAAGCACTTAACACTGCCGATGAAAAGGTATAAATCACGAGAGAAACATTAGACTCTCAGTTTACCTGCAAGATGACGCTCGCGATGTAAAGTCCAATTGTCCACTGAGGTCCAGTCCGTGCCGCTCAGATGTACAGCCAAGTGGACAAATCGGCCCCTTGTTAACAGCCTCTATCAGTCTATTAAAGAGTCAAACGCTTCACGAGCACTGTGATAACATCGAGGCAAGAGTAGACGACATTAAGTAGTAGGCATTGTGCCCAGAAGTACTTAATGATCTTTGGGAGATCGCTCTGGCCACTTACATTATCGTCCGGTCCGTCACTGACGTTAAGTGCGATCTCGGCGTCCTGGGCGTTAAATCCAAGCGTTTCTATTAGTGTACTGCTCCTGCTGTCAACAGATGAGTAGTAAACCTTCCACACGCTGTAAAATCCACTGCTATCGTACTACAGGCTCTCGATTGTATATCTGTGTGTACGTTTTTGGTTCAACTCTATCCTGCACTGTGAGAACGAGCACACTTTGTATTAACACTCCAACTACAGTATGCGACCTATTTTTTTAATCAAATCAAACGCGCTGTCATAAAAGAAATAAAAAAAAAATTCCCGGCGTCGCTGCAGCTGCGTGGTGTGAGTTGCCCTCTGTAGTTGGAAAGTGGTCCAGCTCGCGCGAGCTCAGCCGATGATATATTGACGTCAGGACGCGGTCATTGGACAGAACACAGCGCCACTGTCGCCATCTATCGGTGACGCGGAGCTCTCTCATCCACCGCCTGGTTTACCGTTTCCATTCATCCTGATATGATCCCACCACCGATGAATAACAGTCTTACAATGTGAAATCATTTAGGCATGCTTGCCTTAAGCTGACTTCTAGAGGAAAAAAATGCCCCATTCATGCTAAGGTCGCTCCTCGTGGTCCACAGCGTCCGAAGTTCGTTGTGCATTGATAAAGTTTAATTGATAGCGCCGGTGGCCCCGGATTTGAACGGCGAACCACCACAATTTACAACTGCGGTGGTGTAGGGAGACGTACGCCGGCCACAAATGTGTGTGTGTGTGTATTGTGAGCTGAGCACAAAAAGTCTGCAAAACTATCGCCGGTAGCAGACCCGAACTTGTCTACTGCCAAAGGTTAATTGTTGGCTACCAATCGTCCATGGTACATTGGGTTTTTAAATAAACTGTGGAACATAAACTCAGTAATTTCACTTAGTGCTTGGAAACGGCTACTGTGTTCTAGAGAAGTCAAAACAAATTACCCTCACCGTGTATAACGTATGTCTTTATAATCATTTCCCCAGTAGAAATACCACTGTATGGACATATTATCCCTCCGAAATTGGTTTGGCAATCTAAACACGTAAATCTTGAAACATTAAAATTTAAAAACAATTAATTACATAATGTCATGCTGTTTATTATCATACAATGAACACATTGCCTATTAAGCATTTCTCACTAATCGAGCAATTACAAAAACACTGTCAGACAAATAAATCAAACTCGCTGGAAACATTAAAATTATGACTTATTTTATGGTATGTGGTGTAAACACAATAGAAAATGAAATAAATGGAAAATTACCTATTGTATAACTTATTCTGAGTGCGCCAATTGTTTATTGGGGTATTTAAAATTAAATGAAAACAAATTGGATTTACAGTCCAAATATCCATAATGTTCGTAAGTGTTTAGCATAAGCTACTCAGGAAAACGATTCCACTTCCAGAAGGAAAAATACACAGGTTTTTCAGTTCGAGTGCGGGTCAAGGCGCGAGCTGTGTGATTGACGGCCTCTAAGAAGACATCCTACGTGTACCGCGAGTTAAAAGGAAAACATTTTTCCGTGGCTGGTAATAATTTATGACCAGTACTGTCTGCCATGCTTTTTGATCACTTACTGCAACTGAAGACGCAATGCTAGATGAGGGTGTATCCACGAAAGGGACCTAATTTAACTAAAGAGGACTTTAATTTAAACTGAATAAACCCTTAATAATTTGTTATTATCCGTCTAATACTCTCTGCGGTGAGGTGTAATTTATCATCCACTCGTGCAGACATCTTCATCATCATCATCGTTATTATTATTATTAGATAATTATTGTGACAGCGATGGTAAAATGAGGCATAACTAGACTAGAATTTACAGACTGTATAGAAACGCACCAATGATCTCTAAACAGCATTAATGCGCTGATCGATACGAGAGACTGTAGATAGTATACGAAATACGCCAAGAATAACACAAACATTCTGGCTCTAATATGACACAGGTAAAAGTCATACCAAATGAACTGATAGGCTTACTTGAGTTTAAAATTGTTAATTGATAATTAGCCTATATGAGAAGATACAAGAAAAGTCAAACCGTCTTCAGTAAATGTACGCACACTTTTTCATCTAACGATTACTTTTATGATTTATTTTCTTTTGCTTTCATCTGTAAAATATGATAACTTCTGTAAGGTTGGCTATGGTGAAATTTTTTTTCATTGTCGCTTGTGGTAAAAGGTAAATCGATTTAAAGAAACTAAACGCTTTTTACCTCCGAGGTGAGGCATTTCCACAAAAGACTCAAGGGTAGTTTAACATATTTTTGAAATTGTTTTTTAACAGTTTCCTGTGTGTCATCATCATTCTTATCGATCAATCATGAAAAATGCACCTTGAAAGTTCCTGTGCTTTGAAAAGAGTTTCTTCTTTTATAATGAGAGGGCGTATTAAGATAATTTCCTAGCGTAAAGCAATTCATTTTACATAACAGCTCCGCCTATTGCTGTTGCGTGTGCGGTTGATGCAGACCAAGATAACAACCAAACAAATTAAATGCTTCAAAATTTATTTCCGCTGAACACCTCTCCGCTAAATAAAGGCTCGAACTTTGGCGCCCTAACCCCCCGCGGAGGTCGTAGTTCTTTCACGCCTCCGAGGTCAAAAGATTTCCTCCCTTAAAAATGACAGGCTTGTCTGCATTGGATCCTGTTTCAAGCCTTGAGAGAAATACATCATTGAGGAGAGTTTACGCCGCGTAGGTCAAAGGGAAGTACTTCGTGCCATAAACAATCACGCAGAGCGGGGGAAAGGTTTAAAAGAGAGTTGACTGGGTGCAGTATGCGACTTTTACGAAACAGGGGATTCTTTTTTTCTGCTCAAATTTGGTAGATTTATCCAACGCAACGCAGAATGCTCCCATTGAATATGGATGCAGTGACAAACTTAATAAATATGGTGTGTGTTTAAGTTAACGAGAGAGAAAGAGAGAGAGATTCTTTTATAATGCAAAAAACGCGTCAATCACTGGATGACGTGCTCCCATATAAACCGATCACTTTAACCCTAATTATCTCCTCACATCACCAAAGATGACGCCTAACAGACAGGCAATAGCTAGCCACACTTAAAATAGAATGTCACAAACAAAACCCTCCAAAGAAGTCGACCTGTCTCTCGTGACAAGATCGCGTGACTAAAAGACATCAAACTTGGACAAAAAACAAACCAGTAGACCACTGCAGTAGAACTTTTGCCCAAAATTGGACATAATGATCGCCGCAAATAACACCTTAAAGACAGGACGATTACAAAAGAGTTATCGACAGTGCGTTCGATGGGAACCAGTCGTGGGGAGATTGGGGCTACTAATAACTGTACACAAACTGGGGCATATGGTTGCCCCCTCTGTTACCTGCGGTGCCGGTAGATATTTTTGTCTCCTGTGTGCGTGTGTGAGACTCTGATACAGAGAGAGAGAGAGAGAGAGAAAGAGAGAGAAAGAGAGAGGAGGGGTAGAGAACGTGTGTGTGAAATATACTGAGCTGCCTACTATACAGTATTTTGTGTTGTAATATTACCTCTGCTCTTTTTAACACTTGTTAACATAATCTGTAAGCTTTTTATATACATACTGTAGCGAAACTTAATGTTCAAAGCAATCTAATCAAACTGATCTGTAGAACAAACAAGGACTCCTACTGTACCCACTGTTAGCTATTAATAAGTTAAATTATGAATAAAGTGAAAAAATGAAGGGATTCGTCACTGTCGCTGGTCAACGTTGAATGTTGGCAATATGACTTCATGAATCAAATTTTGTAAAACATCTTTAAAAGAATGAAATCAGAATTCAGGTGGCTCATTGGCAAGTAAAACCCCTTAGAGAGGTCAATTATAAGAGAGATCACCAAACAGTTTCATGAGATAGGAAACGTACATCTGGGAATTCAAAGAACGTTTAATAACATACCGCAATAACTGAAAAGATGCAAGAATTCTGTGCTATTCCTTTTTAAAAATCTTACCCTCCAAAAGTAAGCATGTAAAGCTTCACCATAATAAACACCATAAGCAGTATGCAACCTTACCGTATATCTATCGAGGAACACTCCACAATAGCTGTTACATGTATCAGAGATGGATGTTACCCTAGAAGTTACGCTTGCTTCCAACGTCAAAATGACGCCAATGTCGCTACGTTATCTACGTGCACTCAATCTCACTTTACGGCAGCCAAAAAATGACGGCAACCCAACTCGGCAACTTCGTCCATACATTTGTGAGTTCAGCGTGTTTTATGTTTGCCCCGTCATCGGTCACATTCCTCTAACCGCTGCGTTGGTTATGCGATTCGGTAGGTGCAAGTACGGTTGTCTGTTTTATAAAAATATTTTTATCAAAACACGTGGCTGAATTAAAGCAAACGTTTTCGTCATGTAGACCTTGTTGGCAGCGTGGCTCTAGCACTGTGAGGACGACGCACGGCCTTCTTAATAAAACTACAAAGTGTCTAAGCTTTTTTTCATTCGCCTGACGAGGTGTTTTCTTTTTTTTCCTCTTCTTCTCTTTTTTCTACTTCAGAGCTTGCAATTTTTGCTCAAATTCTACGCGCGTAAATTGACCAGTTTTCAAAATGCCACGATTATAATAAGGTTAAAAATACATATGTGTCAAAATGTGTATATAAAAACACGCTTGAATAGAACAACAACCTAAATGTTGTTGCTATATCTCCTTTTTAGTTATTTATTACTTTTTATTGACACATTTTATCAGAAAAGAAGAAAGTTGTTTATTATTTCTCGGTTTATTTATCCAAAAGGTCTTGCGTTTCTTGAAACTGATTATCTTGATTAGACAAAATACGCAAACAAAAAGGAATAAAGAAATTAAATTGAGAAGACCATAATTCTTACACAGTAAAACGAAACAAGATAGCGCAGTTAACACTGGTTCAGTATCACCCGGAGACGAACAAAAAGAAAAAAATATGTGGATCGCTTTTTATTTATTCTGTAACAGAAATTAGGACGAGAATTTTTGGGCAATGTGGCCCTTATGGCGAAACAGCCAGGGGTATTTGAAGAATGCAGTCACTTTTCTCCTATCTCACGACTTTTAGCAGAATACTTAACGCGGACCAGATCAGTGAGAGACGGTAATAACAAAGGCGGTCCAAGAGCCAGTGTTTATTACGGTCAAAGGAAAGACGCATGTTCGACAACGCGCGCTTCAATATTTGAACGCATCTGTGTGAAATGAACACGAAATTGCAGCTTTTTTGATAAGTTTTTTTCAGATAAATAACGAATGTTTTTAGACATTTATTTAATTGTGAGTTTAGATCAGTATGTACCCTACGGAGAGAAATGGTAACGCGAATCA